CGCAATGATTACCTCCTGGCACTCACGGGCGCAAACACGCACCAAAGACGCTACTATGAAATCGACTTCGAAAGAGTGCTCCGGGTTAGTACCATGTGTAGGCCTATATCTGAGTTAATCTGCACTGTGGTTTGTCTAAAGTGGAACAGGGTGATGGTGTAAAAGATAATGATTATGGAACAAACATATATATATATATATATATATATATATATATATATATATATATATATATATATATATATATATATATATATTATATATATATATATATATATATATATATATATATATATATGTATATATATATATATATATATATATATATATATATGTATATATATATATATATATATATATATATATATATATATATATACATATATATATATATATATATATATATATATATATATATATATATATATATATATATATATATGACATACATATGTGTGTGTGTGTTTGTATGTACATATATGCATATATATATACGCATATACATACATATATATGTGTATATATATATGCATATATATAAATACATATGCATATACATACATATATATGTGCGTGTGTGTATGTATATGCATCTATATATATATATATATATATATATATATATATATATATATATATATATATACATATATATTATATATATGTATATATGCATAGACATACATATATATACATATATATATATATATATATATATATATATATATATATATATATATATATATGTGTGTGTGTGTGTGTGTGTGTGTGTGTGTGTGTGTGTGTGTGTGTATGTGTATGTGTATGTGTGTGTGCATATAATAAACTTTTCAAATAATCAATTTGTACTCTATCTGTTCTCTCTCTCTCTCTCTCTCTCTCTCTCTCTCTCTCTCTCTCTCTCTCTCTCACTCTCTCTCTCTCTCTCTCTCTCTCTCTCACTCTCTCTCTCTCTCTCTCTCTCCCTCTCTCCCTCTCTCTCTCTCTCTCTCTCTCTCTCTCTCTCTCTCTCTCTCTCTCCTCTCTCTCTCTCTCTCTCTCTCTCTCTCTCTCTCTCTCTCTCTCTCTCTCTCTCTCTCTCTCTCTCTCTCTCTCTCTCCTCTCTCCCTCCCTCTCTCTCTCTCTCTCTCTCTGCACAGACAATGGAGTGTGACATGTACGACAAGGTGGCCGGCTACTTGACCCTCATGAGCCGGACGGAGCTGCTAACCTGTTCGGCTTCACAGGTTTCCTATACCAGGATTCGAGAGCAGGCCAGCACGGTAAGTTAGTTTTTTGGCTTTGCAGGAAGAAAATAGGTACTCTCTTACGCATCACATCACATCATATACACATACACATACATACACACACGTGCACACACGCACACACACATACACACGCACACACATATACACACACGCGCGCATACACACTCACACTCACACACACACTCACACACTCACACTCACAGACATAAACAAACCTAGAAACATTCACATACACGCACATATTCACAAAAGACACACACTCAGATTCACACACACACACAAATATACATATATATATATATAAACGTATAAGTAACGTATATTTAGTTATGTAATGTAATGTGATTATAATAAAATCATAATCACATGCAAAAGCGTATTAGAGAAACTTATATTATAGTTGGCTTTACGCTTATATCTGTCATGGGTCCCTTGCTATGCTATAAAAGTCCCATTTGAATAAATTCCTATATTGCTTACCCAAAATTCTATTCCCGCTATCTGCAGCGTTTTCGGACAACTGAAAAATTAGTTACTAGAATGTACAAATTCCTTTTACGTTTTTGGCAGAAGCGGGTATTGGTGTGTTTATGTATTTTAGATAATTTGCTTGATCATTTCATTTGTTTCTTGTAGCATTGATGATATTAATGTCAATGATATCGTCGGGGTCACCGTCGTTATCGTCATCTTTATCATTGTCATTATAATTGTCACTACTATTATCATTGTAGAGGTAGTACTAGTAGGAGACACAGTTGTAATAACGGTATTAATAGCAGTAATATTATTAATAATAGTGTGTACTTGCACTAGTATCAAGTGTAACAGTGTATTATGAACAACAGTAACATTATCAGAAAACAAAATACCGTTAAAAAGCAGCAGTATCACGAAAGCAGTAAGCATCATCACCAGTAGCATTTTCTTTTTTTTTTATATATATATAAAGACACCGCCACACCAAAATAACACAGCGTTACAACAGCAACCCCTGGTTCCTCGTCCTTCGCCAGATTACCAGAGGCTACAACCTGCGCTGCTACCTCACCTTCTACCCTATGCTGGGCCAGAATATCAATTACGACTATGAACCTTGCGAGGGCGACAAAATAGACAAGCTTGTGGTTCACGATGAGACCTGCCAGGGTATCTTGGACAATGAGAGCAAGAAAGCGGTTGGCGTTGTGCAGAAGGAGACGAAGGTAGGTAGGGAGAGGGACAGGGTTGTGATAGATGTTTGGGATTCAGGAAAATTGTTAGTTGAGATGGGAAGGGAAGAGATGGTGATTAAAAATGTGGCAAGGAGAAAAAAGAAAAGTTGTGATTTTCAAAAATGTAAAAAGGGAAAGATAGAGACAGTGGTAAAAAAAAAAAAAAAAAAAAAAAAAAAAAAAAATATATATATATATATATATATATATATATATATATATATATATATATATATATATATATATATATATATATATGTTTGTGTGTATATGTATATATATAATAAGGGAAGGAAGGAGATGGTGATGAAGATGTCATAATGAAAGGGGAGGGTTGTGATAAAAAGGGACAAAAGTATGTAATAAAGATGTGAAATGAAAAAGGGATGGTTGGGATAAAATTTATGATTAAAAGAATTCAATAAGGGAGGGAAAGAGATGGTAATAAAGAAGTGATATTGAAAAGAGGGATACAAGATAGAAAAGATAATCAAGATATGATAATGATAGAAAGACAGTAAAAAGATATCACATTGTAATTGATAAACAAAATATGATAATGAGAAACGACTAGTATTTTTTTCCCTTTTTTTTGCTATTATTATTAGCATTGCAATAAAAAGGATATATAGAGAGTGAAAAGCCGGTGACCAATGTATGTTCTTACAAAGTCATTCTGGTGTTGAATTTCAACTGTCGTTTCATAATTAGACTGTGATGATTACAATTATCAATTATAACGATCATTAATAGCGGCCTAATTTGATTATTCGTATCAAATGAGTTTTTTTTTTATCTCTTTCTTTCCCTCTACCCATTTACCCATCCTTCTCTCTCTCTCTCTCTCTCTCTCTCTCTCTCTCTCTCTCTCTCTCTCTCTCTCTCTCTCTCTCTCTCTCTCTCTCTCTCTCTCTCTCTCTCTCTCTCTCTCTCTCTCTCTCACTGAACCCACCCCTTCTCTCCCTCCCTCCCTCTCCCCTTCTCCCTCATCTACCCTTCCCTTTCTCCCTCACCCTCCCTCCCCATCTCTCTCTCCCCTTCTCCCTCCCCTTCTCACCCTCCCTCCCCTTCTCTCCTTCCCTTCCCCCTCTCTCCTTCTCTCCCTCCTTTCCCACCCATTCCTCCCTCACCCTCCCTTCCTCCCTCCCCTTCTCCCTCATCTACCCTTCCCTTTCTCCCTCACCCTCCCTCCCCTTCTCTCCCTCCCTTCCCTCCCTTTCTCTCCCTCCCTTCCTCCCTCCCTCCCACCCCCTTTCCCTCTCCCTCCCTTCCCACCCATTCCTCCCTCACCCTCCCTTCCCCTTCTCTCCCTCCCTTCCCACCCATTCCTCCCTCACCCTCCCTCCCCTTCTCTCCCTCCCTTCCTCCCTCCCCTCCCCACCCACTATTCCCTCCCTCCCACCCCCTTTCCCTCTCCCTCCCTTCCCTCCCTTTCTCTCCTCCCTCACCCTCCCTCCCCTTCTCTCCTTCCCTTCCCTCCCTTTCTCTCCCTCCCTTCCTCCCTCCCCTTCTCTCCCCTCCCTCCCTCTCCCCTTCTCCCTCCCCCTTCCCTTCCCACCCATTCCTCCCTCCCCTTCTCTCCCCTCCCTTCCCTCTCCCCTTTTTCTTCCCTCACCCTCCCTTCCTCCCTCCCCTCCCCACCCACTATTCCCTCCCTCCCACCCCCCTTTCCCTCTCCCTCCCTTCCTCCCTCCCCTCCCCACCCACTATTCCCTCCCTCCCACCCCCTTTCCCTCTCCCTCCCTTCCTCCCTCCCCTCCCCACCCACTATTCCCTCCCTCCCACCCCCTTTCCCTCTCCCTCCCTTCCTCCCTCCCTCCCACCCCCCTTTCCCTCTCCCCCCCTTCCCACCCCTTCCTCCCTCACACAGGTGATTCGCGACGTCACCAAGAAACTGCAGAAGGTGCAAGCGACGATCAAGACGGAGGCTGACCTCACTCCTGATGTGGAGGCGAAGGTGGACGAACTGAGGAATATCATCCGGAAGGCGGAGACGAACAAGTGCAAAGCGGAAGCCAAGTTGGAGCTGCTCAAGGAAGGAGGAAGTGAGTGGGGGGGCGCGGTCGTGGGAGCATTGTTAGTTTTTTTTTTTTTTTTTTTTTTTTTTTTTTTGAGGGGGTGGTAATTTTTTTGTTTAGTTGTGTTTGGTTGTTTCGTTTTGATTATTTGGGCTTTTTTGGGGTAATTGTTTGTTTGTCGTGTCTGTCTGTTTGTTTGTTTGTTTTAAGTATATCAGTTTTTTTTTGTTAATTGTTTGTTTGTTTGTCGTGTCTGTTTGGTCGTTTGTTTTGATTACTTGAGCATTCTTTTATATTAAATGTTTGTTTATCTGTCGTGTCTGTTTGTTTTGACTACTAGAGTTTTTTATTTTTTGTTTGTTTGTTTTGAATACTTTGTTTATTTTTGTCAATTGTTTTTTTCGTGTCTGTTTGTTTGTTTCGATTAATTACTTTGTTTATTTTTTGTTAATTGTTTGTTTTTTCGTGTCTGTTTATTTCGTTTAATTACTTGGGCGTTGTTTATTTTTTGTTAATTGTTTGTTTATTTGTCGTATATGTTTGGTTGTTTCATTTCATTTCTTGAGTTTTGTTTATTTTTTGTTTGTTTGTTTTAATTGCTTGATTTTTTGTTTATATCTTATTTATTGTTTTTGTTTTAATGGGTTTAACTTTTTTAAGGGATAGGGAAGCATCTGACTTTCATTTCATTGTTATATTTTTAATCTTCCTGTAGAGATTTTTGTGTAGTTATTGTTGTTTATTATCATCAAATGTGTGTATGTGGGGGGGGGGGTGCTATAAAGTCATGGTTGTTTTAATTCACAGGAAATTTCAGAAAATGAAGTATATGTACTTGTGTTTTTATAGATAAGAGATTGATTAGTGGTAACATTACTGGTCGAACTGATGTTGCAGAGGTACATGTTCTGTAATATTCTAAGTAGCATTATGGGGGTGCGTGTATGTGTATGTTTCTATGTTTGTTTATGTCTGTGTGTGTGTGTGTGTGTGTGTGTGTGTGTGTGTGAATGCGTGAGTAAGTGAACGAGTGAGAAGGTGAACGGCTGAAAGTGTAACGAAATTTGTTAGAACGAGAGAGAGAGAGAGGGAGAGAGAGAGAGAGAGAGAGAGAGAGAGAGAGAGAGAGAGAGAGAGAGAGAGAGAGAGAGAGAGAGAGAGAGAGAGAGAGAGAGAGAACGAAGAGAGGAGAATGACGCAGAGAGAAAAAAAAGAGAAAGAGATAGAGAGAGAGAGAAGACACAGAGAGAAGAGAGAAAAGAGAGAAAGAAAGACAGAAAGAGACAGAGTACGAAAGCAAGACCCAAACAAACGAAGCAGAAAAAAGACAGAGCGAAAGAAGAGAGAGACAAAAAAAAAAAAAAAAAAAAAAAAAAAAAAAAAAAAAAAAAAAAAAAAAAAAAAAAAAACAGAAACCCAAGTGCTAACGCTTCTGCATGTACGTCCGAGCAAACACTTGTGCACATGCATGTGAGTACGTACATGCGGGCGCACGCGCGTGTGTGCGAACAATGACCGAGCGGCAGTTCAATGATCTTGACTAATCGACCTCCGACAGTCGAGATCGAGGACTACTCAAAGAGCCTAGACAGCGACAGCCTCGGCGTGGACCTGGACGTGTCTCTCAGCCGCTCAGGGTCGTCGCTCTCCGTCAGAGAAGAGGTAAACCCGCTTAGATATAAGGCCGAATGGAAGTTTAGATATAAGGTGGATATAAGGTTAGATATATAGGCGATAAGGTTTAAATATGGTTAGAATAAGGTTGAATATAAGGTTAATAAGGTTAAGATAAGGTTAGATATAGTATGGGCGACACGGTTGAATATAAGGTTAGATATAAGGTTAATAAGGTTGAATATAAGGTTAGGTATAAGGCTGAATATAAGGTTAGATATAAGGCCGAATGGAAGCTTAGGTTAGAATAAGGTTGAATATAAGGTTAGATATAAGGCTGAATGGAAGCTCATATATAAGGTAGATATAAGGTTAGATGTATGGACGACAAGGTTGAATACAAGGTTAATAAGGTTGATATAAGGTTAAGATAAGGTTAGATATAAGGCTGAATGGAGGGTTAGATATATGAGCGATAAGGCTGAATATAAGGTTAATAAGATTGAATATAAGGTTAAGATAAGGTTAGATATAAGGCTGAAATAAGATTAAGTACATACATCTTTACAAACATCGTTCTTAGATTACATTTAACAAAAAACAAACAAACAAAAAAAAAACTCAAATAAATCTATCTAATTTCCCCCCCCCCCCCTTCAAAACCATCATCCTCTCCTTAATGCTACGTTCCTCTCCCCTTTCCCCCCCCCCCCCCCCCACCACCAGATCGAAGGCGCGCCCACGGAGTACGAAAATGAACAGCAAGACTCGGACTACGTGGCTACATCTACAGCGGAACCTGTTTCTATAGATTCAGAGAAGGAGGATAGTATTCAACAACAGCAACAACAACAACAACAGCCTCAACAACAACAACCAGAAGAAAGTGAGTGGTTGGAAAAGATAATAATAATGATAATAATAATAATAATAATGATGATGATAATAATAATAATAATAATAATAATAACAATAAGTGGTGATAATCCTATAGAAATAAGTGAGTTGATAATAATAATAATAATGATAATAATAATAATAATAATAATAATAATAATAACAATAGGTGGTGATAACCCTATAGAAATAAGTGAGTTGTTAATAATGATAATAATAATGAGATAATGATAATAAGATAATGATAATAATAATAATAATAACAATAATAATAATAAGATAATAATAATAAGGGAATAATAATAATAATAATAACAATAATAATTATAATATAATAATAATAGTAATTATAACAGTAGGTGGTGATAATGATATAGAAAAAAGTGAGTTGAATGAATGGGTGAGGGAATAGAGAAGAAATTGATGATGATAAGGCTATAGAGAAAAGTGAATTGGATGAATGAATGAAGGATTTACTGAGTAGGTAGATAGGTAAATGAATTAGAT